TAAGATTTATTATGTCTTAAGATAATTACAAAAGAAAAGAAAAATATAATTACAATCTTCAACTTACAGTATGGTAGATCTTGTACCGGTACACAGTTAACACAGTTAGAATAATGTGCCAATAAATAATGCAAAATAAACACATATAAGCTCACAAATACACAAAGAATAAAACACGCCTCGTAATGTTAAGAAAATTTTTCTGAAAAAAATCTCCCTCCCTTTCGAGCCTGTCAATCCCTTATATAGGTGGGTCTACCGACGCCCAAGCCCTGCCTTCGAGCTGCTACAAGGCATTTCTAGAACCATCAGATTCATTCTACAAAACACTACTTGGAACAGATTAATTATTTTTAGTAGTTGGCGGTGTAAACAAGAAATACACCAAAAGCCTAAGCCACACCCCTTTGTGAACACAGCATCTCATGCGGGGTCAATCAGAGGGCACGCACGAGAAATATTATGTAAACAAGCTCTCTATAACAAAAGTTTTGGCAAATGAATGCCTTCATCAGTACAAAAAAAACAACATTTAAATAAGTATAAATTAAATTTATATAATATATGTTTAGATGTATCCTACCTAAAAAAATAGAAAAGTACAAGAGTGGGCGCAAACCCAGACAAAACCAAAATTGAGCAAAATGGAAAGGAAGTGAGTGAAATTAAAATTTAAAAACCAAACAGGAAAAAGACATGGCAGCAAATAAAATTGTGGATTTGGTTTATAACATATTGGCAACCAGCTCCACCTGCTCTTAATTGTATAATCAGATTAAAAACTTTTGGTATGACCCAAATTTATAAAGTTTCTTCCATCTCTAAATAGAAAATTAAAACCTTTGCACTTACCGTAATTAACAGTTGACTAATCAACATTAAAGCAACTCCAGAATCATGTCATATGTTGGAATTATAGTGGTGTCACATACTCAGCTGCCCTGTCTAAAAATAACCTACAAAAAAATTCACCAGTGTCATGCAACCGAACCTGATAACTAGTGTAATATAACGTTTTGAGGTTGAGGAGGGGGTAATATTTAAGTCATACATTTTGTGTTGTCACATGGTTCCCCTTCAACAACAGAGGTCCCCCCCACAAACATACCCCTGCATTGTCAATATAATTGTCCTTCAATATTTGGCACTTACAAATGGAATAGACTCCTTCAAATATCTATGAATATATTTTTTAAGAATTGATAGCACTGAGACATGCAATGTTTAGAAGCGCAGTCTGCTACTTACCATGAACTTACTTAAATACTGTAATTAATGAAAAATATTATTTTACCTGCCAATTTGAACATTTTTAACATGTAGTTGTATTTCCTTGATATCTTAAAAAGCAATAATTAAATAATATTGAGTCAAATGTGACCTTATTTCAATTTACAGACATTATGCAACTCCAAAGATACCCAACATACCTGGTCTTGAAACATTCACTGGCCAAGTTCTACACAGTCATGATTACAGGACGCCAGAAAGCTTCAGCAATAAAGTTGTAGTGCTGTTGGGTGCGGCAGCATCTGGACAAGATATATCCTTGGAGTTGTCGCATGTGGCGAAAGTGGTATGTGTTTGTACTAGATGTGGTCCTTATGGTAAGTTTAGTTTCAAATTTTAAAAAGCAAAGTAATTATACTAGGTTCTGTAGTTAAATAAAAGTATTTTTTCCCCTCTGTACTCTTGGAAGTACAATACTTATTTAATTCCATCACATCTCCTTAGACTTATGCATACACGGCTGACAGCATTAGTTCAGCTTACTTACTCACATGAACTGAAGTATTTTATATTTATACATCAGTTTTGAGGCTCAGCTGAATCGGTCAGAACTTGTTATTTAGTTATTGTTTAAATATTTATTTAAAGCAAAAGTTTACTTAAGTTATTTTTTATTCTATTTTTTGTGTTGTGTGACATATAGAAATAGGGTATTTTAAGATGAATTTTTAGAAAAATGAAATAAAGCAACATTTCAGGTCTACCTAAGCCATCATAAGCCACAGCTGACCACCAAGTTGCCGAAAAATTTGCTGCAGAAACCTGGCATTAAGCTCATCTCTGAATCTGAGGTACAGTTCTTAGACGACAGCAAGGTCAGGGCTGACATTTTGTTGCTGTGCACAGGATAT